AGGGTGGAGGCCATTGCTAGTAGGGTGGAGGCCATTGCTAGTAGGGTAGAGGCCATTGCCTGTAGGGTGGAGGCCATTGCCAGTAGGGGCCATTACTAGTAGGGCGGAGGCCATTGCTTCTAGGTTCACTAAATTGTATATCAAAGTGCTTGCTCAGCTGGATTTGACGAGCCCATTTCGCCTCACCAAGCGTCAAGGCTCGTGCCCACGGCACACCTGATCGCGTTTTCGATGGGAAAAAACGAATCCTCAAGAGCGACACCAACCTCAAGAGCGACCGAAGCAGGAATTTCTTCACCCCTGCGACGCACGCGTCCTTTTTTTGTTCGGTCTCTGACGCGTTCAGAACCCCACGCAGCATCAGGACCCAGTGCATCAAAGATCCCTATCCTACAACGTCCAACATGATGCCAAACCTCTGGATGTTGGGAGTTCATGATTTGAATCTGTGCTGACCAAATATCACCACAGGGAGAAAAAAACATCTTTTGTATTATATTGCATATGTGTTACATATATGTATTATATACATGATCTCTCCAAAGGGATCTTTGATCAGGTTGCACCCAAGTTCCAGAACTGCCGCGCAGGTTTGAATCGGTCGACGTGGTCCGACACTTCCTGCTCCGACCGGCGCGCGGCAAAGTCATAGCGGCGCTTGATCTCGACAAAGATCTCATTCATTTGCTCGTCCGACAGGTTGGCCGAGGCCAACTTCTTGTCTGGATGGTACATTCGCATCTGATTCTTCCAAGCACTTCTCCTTGAATCAGGGTGTCTGGCCGTCTCTGTATTTGAAAAAGATCTGACATGGTCTGACAGCTGGTGTTTGAAAGATCAAGCCTGCATGGGTTGAGCGACCGTACCCCAAATCAACCAAACAAACATCTCCACACCGAAAAGACCTCTCTCAACAGGTCTCGATCAATTGGAAAAAACCATGAAAAGCCCTTCTCAACTCGCAGCTGAAACAGTCATCGTTTCAAACCAATTCAGGGCGTCATCGTTTCTCTCCGCTCTCCTCTGATCCTTTGGGAGTCGTTCGATCTCACGGCTGATCTGGCTCACCTGTTCGCTGGCCACCCGAGACAAGCGCACGGAGGGAGGGGGCAACGGTGAAGTCGAACCCTTCCGTGGCGAAGGCACGGAGCTCCGCGTCGAAGCCGTCCGGCCCGCTCGGCCGGACGAGAAGCGGCTGCGTTGGCTGTGGAGAAAGCTGGGACGGAAGAGTTGGCACTTTTCGGTGTGGAAGGGTTTTCCACAGGTGCATTTCAGGTGTTTCACCTTTGGAGCTTTGGAAGTCTTGGCTTTGGCATCTTTGCGTGCCTTTTTGGACTCTGAAGCCTTAGTCTTGGTCGACTTGGTCTCCTTCTGAGGCTTAGGGTTCACCCTTTTGCGCTTGAGATGCGACCTCTTTTGTGGATCCTCCTCAGCGGTGGTCTCTGCATCCGAAAGCACCTCCGGTCGCTTGCTGCCGGCAGGTTGGGTGAAATCAGCACGTCCTTCAACCTTGGACCGTTTCGGACCACATCGCTCCCTTCCGGATGCGGCACCGAGATCATCGGTCCGGGTCGGTCTGCTGGTCTTCTTTTGACTTTTCTCAAACTCTTTGAGCTTCTTTTCTGGGATTGGACCATCCACCCGACCATGCACCGTCCATTTCTCCTGGTGGCGTTTGCAGAAGTCGCCGCCCAGCTTCTGGAGAGAGCATTGGCCGCCCTGGCCACCGTTCCAAATGCGTGCCATGCACAACCCAAGATCAATCTTCTGAGGGGTAAAAGCCATGCTGGGCGCGGCCGAGTCGGGTCTTTGTGGAGTACAGGGTGGTGAATCTGATGTTGGAACAGAAGAACTGGTCCCAAGTGCCCTGTTCTGCTCAATGCCAGCGGAGGAGGCTGCAGGATCTTCTTCATCTGCTTCCTCTCCTGTTTCTTTCACTTCTTCATCCTGCTCTGTGTCCTCTACATCAGTATCCGCAACCTCATCCTCTCCTCTCTCAGCGGTCTCTTCCACCTCTTCTGCAGTCTTCGGTTTCTCCTCCACCGCAGTTTTCTCCAGCTCCTCTGCCACCTCCGCCGGTTCATCATCTTTCATGGCCTCAGCCTCCACTTCCTCATTGCCTTCCGCATGTTCAGGCAGGCCGATAGATCCTCCTAGCCTTGCTCCTTCCTGCTCTGCATCTTCCTCTCCCTCTTTCGCTTTGAAGACTCTCCCCATTGGTTGAGCAGTCTCATTCTCTTCACAGCCTGGCAGCAAACCATGTTTCGTGGATCACGGGTGCTTTTGGGATTGGAAGACCTAGCGAGACAAAAAGAACAAAAACATCCCTCAATGGCTCAAAACTGAACAGGAACAGGTTCTAGACGAGGTTTCCTTTCATCTGGCCTTGGATGGCACCTCCTTTTGAGACATTGCCCCCAATAACCTGCACTAGTCACCACAACTGCCATAGTACGTAGAGAGACCTAAGACCAGCTTGTTTTTGTTGCTGCACCCCACCTGTTTGTATGGGTGTACTGGGTGTGTCGTGTACTCCTCAAGATCCAAATGTCATGCCGCGCCTGGCTCTGAGACCTCTGCGGATGGAGCGGCCTCCAATGGAGCAATGTCCATGCCTTGAAACAGCTGGAAAGGCGCTGTCAGCTACCGGCCACAGGGTTTCAACGGCTTCAACCCTGTTTGTGGCCCATAACCACAAGGCTTAGAACAACCAAGTTTGATGGGTTGGTTGGGTTGGGATTTTTCTGTTCTCGAGCAGAGCAGCCAGTACTTGCCGGTGGCAGATTTCCGCAACCAGAGGATGGGGAGAAAAAAATGCGCCACGAAAGTAGCACCAACAAAGCATCACAAAAGTCCACCACGAATTATTGGTCTTGATTTGTCTTGCTTCAAAAGTAGCTTCTCTCTAACAGTCAGCCTCATCCTGCAGATTCCTCTTCATGTCCGAAGTTGAAGATGAACAAAATGAACCAAATGCCCTGCATTCTGGTAGACTACAAACTTTGGACACCTGCTGGCGCCAAAGCCGAACCCCCTGGCTGGCGGCGCCTCCATCCGTGCAATCCATCCCGCTCATCTCCTCCATGGCGCGACGGGTGGAAGCCAGCCAGGTGATCCGGGATCCTGTGAGTCTTGCACGATGTCTTGCGCGATGTCTTCCTTCAAAGCGTGAGCATGCGGCCCATCTCTGATGGACTTTCATTTTTTTTTTTGAGTCGGGAGTGATGTTGTGGGTGATGTTGAAGTCTCATGGGGCTTCCGGGCTTCCTTGTGACGCAGGCACCCTGCTCTGCGACTTACTTCCTTTGGCCCCACACTGCGGCAAACAACCCGTTTTAACATACCTTGTCTCAGCTTCTTGGCCTCATCAACCAGTCTTGATGCAAAGATATGCAAAGAATCTCAACGACCTCACTGACCAATCATCTTGTTTTGGGGCTCCATATGACCAAATAGGTCGCCTGAGGCTCCGACTCTCAATTGCATCTCTCAGTCCTATTTGGGACTGCGGACAGTACTAGACTACTAGTGGCAGTGACTTGACGGGGTGTCATCACGGTCCGTCTTCTCGATCTCTCGCAGTGGCACTTTTGAGCTCGATCCAGTCCGTCTGCCGGAGGATTCTCGGGAGTCAGTAAGGAGCGGCGCGTTTGATCTCTCAGAAGACCCAGCACAACCCATGAATACATATGAAAACCCATCTATGCACAGACAGCAGTCAATCTGACAATCTAACCATCCGCAAATACTTGCATGTGCATATATATATATATTGTCTTAAATGGTCTTAAATGTTGATAAAGAAAATGCAACCTCAAAGTTGTTGAATCGCTCAATCTTCTTCTTCTCGAATAGTTCGACACCGATGTTGGTGGAGGGAACCCTCCCATCCGCAGTCTGGGAGACACACAGGGCCCCGCTGGAATCAGGAAGGACATCCACACCAACTTAAAAGAAGGCGTTTTCATGACAGAAACAAAACCTTTGTTCCATCCACATGTCTTGAAGCCCAAAACCTCTGTTCCATCCACATGTCTTGAAGCCCAAAACCTCTGTTCCATCCGCATGTTTGCGGCCCTAAAGCATATGCCTCCACCCAGCCTCCACCCCTTTCCATCGGCTCCTTCAAAGCACCGCAGGATCGGCAAGGCCGCCAAGAGCTCGACGCAACAACACTTGGGCCTCGCTCCAGCCGTTTTTCTCCCGAGGCCGTTTCCCTGGAAAAGTAGATTAGTATTTGGATGCTAAGTGTTTACTGTACCACGGTGGACCTTGAAGTCTTTAAGTACTAATATGGTGACCGCTGTTCATCCTTTTTCCACCATCCATGCGATCTGAAGAAGAGATCACCCCGAACATCGTGGATCAAGCGCCAAAAAATGCAAAGTTAGTTTTTTGACACGCCAAAAAGGATTTGAGTTGGAATAAAGAAATCCCAACCTCAAGGTTGTGCAGGGCAGGAGGGTACCTACTACCCTGGATAGATACCAATTCCAGCCCTCACAAGTTCTCGCAACATTTACATCCATCTTGTGAATTCGCGTCCTTTTCTAAGCCTGAGCGGTTTTTCACTTCCAAAGCCTGAACACTATTCGCACTATTGAATATTGATTTGAGATTATTTGAGTATTTGTGAAATAGACCATGTTCATGGATTGCGGCAAAACACGTCCTGCACAACCATTCTCATGCTTGCATCCTTGCAAAAAGAGAACAACAGATGGACAACAAAAGCTGGTTTCGCCCGGTAGGACTCAGGTAGGACTCGCCCAGGCCGGTGAGGTGGCAGAGGTGCCACGGATGTTCGCCGGGACCCAGCAGGTTTACGCTGGAGGTCATGCTGGCCGTTTCGCTGAGTGACCGGGGGGGGCGGTGGTGGGCCGTTTGGTTGGAAGCAAGAAGGTATTCGTTGTCACACTGGAAAAACGAGAGGTGGGTGGGAACGAGAGGTGGGTGGGTCCAGCAGGTGTCTTCTTGTCTACTTTCATGAAAACGCCGCGGTTGGCTAAAACCAATTCCCCAGTATCTTCGCCCTTTGATCCTCCAAGCAGGTGAACGAATATTGCCGTTGCTCAATATGTTATACTGTGTGAAAAGGCAAGAATCCACCAATACGCGGAACCTCAATCTTTCTGCAGACTTGGCTGTACCCTTTCGTGCGAAGGTCAGAGAAAATCTCTAATTCTGGTCATCTTGCACAAGCATCCGAGCATCCAAGCTCCTGCGGTGTCCCAGCCTTTGGTGAAAGTGATAACACCAAAACGTCACCAACACTGGGATCTATTTGACATCCACTGCAAGTTCTAACTCCATCCGGTGATCTTCCAGATCTCGTCTACTCCGGACTACTCCAACGCGAGAACTCTCGACTCTGGTACCGATCCCCACTGGGCGTGTCCAGCCAGCGTTGTTGTGCGGCCAGGAGGAGTTCCAGATTCTGGGCCAGTGACCTGGTCGGACCGAAGAACTGAAGAAGACTGGAAGACTCGACTGGTCGTAGCAAAAGGAAGACCGGGAGCTAGCAAAAGGAAGCGATAGCTAGCGATGGGAAGCTAATACCTATAGGAGCTAGCTACGTGTTTTTTCAGACTATAAAACTGCTGCACAGAGACAGAAGTTACACATAGTTACACATACAGTAGTTCCCAGAAGTGAAGGTGGTGGGTGGATGGGTTTGGGGAGGTGGATGGAAGGGGAGGTCCTCTTCCAACGGCGGGCTTTGTGGGTGTCAATACCTCGTATCAACATGCTTCACGGTGCTGGACCCTCCCTGGGTTCCTGGATGTTCGAGTTTGTCGAAACTCTGTTTAGGACAGAGGTGACAAGTAAAAAGGATTAAAAAGGTCTCAACAAATTGGAATAAATCTCATCCAGTTTGCATTCACCCATCGTTTCTTTTAAGAAACTTGCATGCATCCAGGTGGTCGTGCTGGTCCAAGGTCGTGCTGCATCGGTATCCCGAAAAGGGGCCTTGGGCCAAAAAGAATCCATCAACTTGATGTCTTCACCCTGTCGACTTGACGTCTTCCAATAATCCTGGCCTGACCATGGAGGAGCAATGCTTGGAGGCGTCGAAGCGAAGCGTGAGCTGCATGCCCTTGGAAGCCTTGGCAACACCTGACAGCGCGGCCAGCGATGTTCTGCGCGGCAGCGGCCGTCCAATGACGTGACATCCAGCCCCGACACCTGCAAGGTCGCCTGGAGATCCTCTCGCGGCTGTGGCCGCGTCCGATGCCCAAATGCCTCTGGTTCGTCTTCATGAAGTCTTTTTGCATCGGACGTCTCCCAAGCAATTCTCCCTAAACCTGCTTGGGCCATCGCCACCGCGATTCCAGAAATGGACAACAGAGAAATACCTCTGTGAGCTGGTTGCCAAAAGTGAAACGTGCACTGTGGGTCTCCACCAAGCCAAGCCACTCTACCTACTAGCTTATTTGACCGTGGCCTGAACCCTGGAGTCCTTTCGACTCCAAGATTCGCAGGTGGCCCCCCTCCCTTTATCGGCATCTGGAAAATGAGCTGCCTTGATGAAACATCTTCGATTGGAACCAAGCCCCAAACCTTGTAGAAGGCCGTGGAAGCAGCCGGGAAGCCCCACAGCAACTACTTCGCCTCTGAAAGCACCCAGAGCGCCTGACTCACCCAGGCCTTGCTGCTCCGGACCTTTCACTCCACACCACTCTCCGCCCAACACGCGACGTGTCGCGATCACCGCCTTCCGGAACGATCACCGCCACCAATGGTAGCTCCGCACCCGTGATGGGCATGGACTCATGCTGGAAGACCTATCGACAGGTCGAAACGCACGCCACTGCGGCACTGGAGACAAACATGTATCTTAAACACACTAAGCCATTGCAAACATCCAAACCAATCAAACCATATATATTATGTATATAGAGAGAGATGTGGAGGTGTTTTTTTGCGTGCCATGCCAAGTCATCCATCACTGGAGTGCTGTGCCGTCCAGTGCCGTCCGCGGCATCCATTAAAAGCTCCATCCTTTCGCCGGCTGCGCCGCGCTCGCCTCCGGCCTCACACTCTGCCTGCGTCGTGTTCTCCTGCGTCAAGCCTCCTTCACTGGGATAATTCTCGAAGACCAGCATGGTTTCAAAGAGCTCCTGGTGTTCGAACGGAAGCTGTGTTCGAACTACGCGTCGGCGTCGACCTTCTGAAATCCAAACAAAGGACCGGAAAGAGGACGAATCCGTCTGCATGACACGACAGGTGTCTTTATTTTTGCATTCTTTTTTGGTATATATATACAGTAAATATAATCTATGAGCCTTGCCGGATGTTGCCGGTGGTTAATCCCAAAACCAGGCCAAGCTGCTAAGCTTCTTCCAGGCTAGACTCGCTAGACATCATAGGATGTTCTTACACATTCCAAAATTGCAACTTTCCGTCATAGAAGAATCTGCACCAAAACAAAAGTAAGTGAACATTCGCCAGAACTGCTAGGACAAAGCTTTATATCATTTAAGTGTTCGCTTGTTCTTAGCCTTCCATACAGGATGACCATGCAACTGTGTAAAACAGGCCCCCAAAACATCTCCAAAAGCCTCGCTTTTCGGCGCGGCTCTCCCGATCGACCTCTCCTGCACGGGTCCGCTGAACCCCGACCAGTCGCGGATTTCAGCCTGGCAGGCGCAGAAAGCGCTGTGCTTCACAGTCTATGCCTGAAGGCATCTTCCACTGCTTCAGGCATCTTCGGCTCACTCTAGGCATCAGGCCATGTTGCAGAACCTGAGCTGGGTGAGCTGGTGGAGTTTGACCAGAAAATCCTTAAGATCCAGGATGGGTGTTGTTTGTTGAGCACCAAAACGGACAATGCTTCTCTTGATGTCCTGAAGGGTTCTGAATGCCTCCCCAATGAGTCAATGAGTCTTTAGAATCTGTTCCTTACAGCAGAGTGGCACGGGTCTTCCTTTTGCAGCTTTTTGAGTTTTTCTCTTGACCTCTGTCATGCTGCTCATGGAGCTCCATCCAAACCCACTCGGTGATTGCCCGAGATGCCTGAAAAAGGATGCATGCTCGGAATCCGACGTCTCCAAAGACCAGGGTGTTGGACGCCCCAGCAGATGTTCCAACGAAGCTCCATGATCCGACCGAGATCCGTTGGATCCTCCCGGAGGGTCGACAGTCCTCCCAGCTATAGTCGACGGCAGTCGATTCCCGTCCGGTGAATCCAAGAAGCTGGTGCTCAGCCAGTTCTCGCAAAGAGTTCTGGATGGACATGGCCAAGTCTGCGAGACTCCGGAAGCTGGAGGAGGTGGAGAGAGAAAAAGCAAAACAAACTATTTTAGACTGAAATAGACTGAAAACTCTTGAAGCACGCAGGAGGTTGCAGGAACATGTTTCTTTCACACCCACCTTTCTAACAAGCATGAGAGCATGAAAGCAGGGTGTAAAGCGCCTATGCAGCTGGTTTCTCGATGAATCTTCACTCGCAGAGGCAGTGTGCAAATCAGCAGCCCAACCATGCCTGTCCAGGTGTCGCGAGCCCACTCGTCTGTTGCCACGGCAGAGTCGACCCGTTTGAATGTACTTCAGGCGAGTCCAAATCCCGATGAGTCTACCTTCCCTCCAACAGACATGGAAGTCGACAATCCTGTGTTTCTAGGGGAATATGGTCGTTCCAGGAATATGTTCCACTTCTATCAAGCTTTTCCTGGATGGAACAGATTCCCTCCGCTCCGCGCTTCCCTCCCGACAGAACCATGCCGAGAAAAACCCGCCTTCGATGCCGCAGACCGGCGCGTCGCGCCCGGAGAGCACCACGCCGAAGACCACGTCGCGCGCGGTCGCAGCGTCGGGACGACCCGCCTCCGCCTGCGCCGCCGGCCGGGGGCCGGTCGGTCGGAGCAAGGCGCGGGACTCGCGATGGGTTCTGATCTTTGGTGGTTCGATTTTCGCTAGGTTGGGTGGGAGATGAAACACATGTTTTGAGCACATGGAAATGGAATGTGCGAAGTGGACATCGTTCGTGCGAGCGGGTTGGTAGTATTTTGTAGTTGTCCTGCTTACATGAGGCGGCACCTGGCCCTAAGACCCTGGGATTTGGGCAATCTCCTGCAAAGAATCATGTGAAACAAACCGGTTTTCACAAATCCAGGTAGGAGCACAACCGGCCGTCAAGCTCAGTACAGTACTTCCATCAAATTCATCAACAAGTGATGTTCGAAGCCGGCTTGCGAACAATGGTTTTTGGTGACCCATACCCATGTGGGAAGGAGTCTGACTCCTTCCCACCGGTGTGACTGGCTTTTTGTGCTTCCTGCCGTCTTCTGTTCTTTAGAAGGTCACAGCCTCAGTCACAGCATGTATGTATTCTATCATATATATCACTATATTACGTCATGGCTCAAACCTACGACGTAGGGTACCATCCACGGCCACTGGTACAAAAAAAGACATTATATAGCTCCTTATCAAGAAACATCATTTTCTGGCTCGTGCTCTTGAGCCACATCCCCACAGCCTCCCCTGCTCTTTTCGAAGGCCAGCCCGCTTTTGGGATGTGCCCGATCCCGGCGACGTCCACCGGGCCCCAGACCAGCGCCATGGCCCAGGCAGCGTGAAAGAGTGCAGCGCTGGTGATGCCCTGGACCGACCGATGGAAGGGTCGCCACGGCGAAAGCCGACCAATTCAGCTGATGGTAACAAAGTGGAAACGAAGAAGGATAGCATCACACGCAGAATGGACAAAGGATGAAAACGGACACCTGGTGTCTGCAGTGTTGAAATGGCAGCAACTCCGTACCACCCTTAGGAGGAAAACACCATAAACATCAATAAACCTTTAATCCGACGGATTCTGATTTGGGCAAAACATCAGTGCCCGTGTTTAGAATCTGGACGAAACTCCTGTATGGACGGCCTTGCAAAACCGTCCTCCCAAACCAGAAGTGGTATGGCTACCACTTCTCTCTTCTTCCTCTTGGAAGACATCACATGGAAAGGCTCCTGTTTCTGGAGTCGTCTCCCAAGGGACCGTGCCTTCCACTTCCATGTGGCATGTTCGTCAGGGTGTACATCCTCTTACCACTGGACCTCCAATTGACCCCACTCCCCCCAACCAGCTACCGACCTGGCCTCGTCCGATGGCTCCAGGGATGGCAGCTCCCATCGCAGCTGCTGATAGTCGCGTGCTGAGTGCGGGATCCGCTGCCACGGGACCTGCGCCTCACCGGAGGTCAGCTCCTGGGGCACCGGCGATGGTGAACAACTCAGGTCGAGAATTCCTATGAATTCTGTGTTGCAGTCCTCAAGGAAATCCTCAAGGGTCGAAGATATGTGCTGCTTGAAGGAAGCAAAGGTGTTCTGCAGACCGTTTTTCTTTCTTAGAAAGGACCACATGCGTCGCATGCTGAGAACTCTCAGTCCTTGGCTAAAGTCGGACCACCTGGGGTCGGAGATTCTGGGGAAGTTGGGAGTGACACAAAGCTTTCTAGACCCAACTGCCAGGTCGAACTACTGGAGGCAGGCATCAAGATTTGAGATGATTTGAGATGATTTGAGATAGGGAATATCATAGATTATCCACTGTATTGGACTCTCTCTCTCTCTCTGTGCTCTTTGCAGTCTTTGATCTGGTGTAGACTTCTACCATAATTAGATTCAATTGCTACGGATGCAGAATCCTCTCTTCCCAGCCTCTCCATCCCTTCAGCTGCTGCTTCCAGAAACTTTTGAGCTGATCTCTGCCTGCCTGACATCAAGCACTCCAGTCACTCGAGCACATCGTGCCAGCGCATATGGCGAAGCCAAGGGAGTGAAGAAATCTTTGGGTCGCGATGGCGCATGGTCAGGAGTCCAATCCAGTAGCCCAATTTGGGCCTGTAGATTCAAGAAAATCATTGTATTGGATATTTATACGTCATGACCATTCATGATCAATGAGACTTGAGGCTGATATGTCCAATCATTCTTCTCTAACCTTCGGCAGCTGGGTGGCAAAAACCCAGGTATTTGAGAGAAAGAAAGTCTTACCTCAAAATCCCAGGTCTCCTCCCATTGCCGATAAGTCAAAACCTTCGCACGAAACCGCAAGGCCGTGGAGAAAAAGCCATTTCCAGATTGAAAACAACAAGAGCTTGGCTGCTGACGAGCATGGCTGTGAAGCTGCCGCGTCCTGAGAAAAAAAGTGGTGCCTGGCGAGTACGAAAGACATGTGTGGCATAGTCTGCCCAGCGCGGAGCTTGGGGAAGGCTTGCTTCAACTCTTGAGGACAACTCGCTGCGAGAGTCGAAAGTTTGAGGGAAGAGTGGAGACTGGCTTCCAACCTAACAGGCCTCCAACCTAGAAGCGATGGCCTCCAACCCAATTGGAGACTGGCTTCCAAGAAAAAGGTCAGGAACACTACTCTGAGTCATTTTCTCATTCACATGGAAGTGGATGGTGCCGCTTGTTAGATTGTTTCAGGGAGTGTATGACTGGGATGGAGAACCCCCCCCAGTGGGGTGCAACCGGTGCAACCGACCAGATTCTGATCGGTTTGCAACGGAGTGGGGCCAAGGGCAAGGATTTGCGCCGGCTGTGATTTGGCCAAGAGAAAGATATAGAAAAATCTGGAGGAGGATCTCCTTTAACTCGATCTTCATGGGGCCTTGGGCCACGAAGTCGGAGATTCTGCTTTGCTGTCTGGGGAGCCAATGCTGGTTCCGAGTAGTGGAGTCCACGTGCTTCGCATCCACCAGGCATCCACCTGGCCCACCGATGTCCACCGTCCTGCATAGATCTTCATGGCCTCATCCAATAGCACCGGATTGGACCAACCATCAGAGATGGCGTGATGCTCACTGCGGATGCATAGGTAAAGCCCGTCCTTGGGGCGAAGAAAAGAACTGCTGAAAAAGCAGACAGGGGGGGTGATGAACGCATGATGACACATGTCTGTGGCTCGGTTCATGAGGTTTGCATGTCTTTTTTGACTAGATTCACCAAACGGTTGCTCATTTTGGACCCCCGTTGCCCAACTCCTACGCCGGCACGCCGGCAGCCAAGCCACAGCGATGCTGCAGTTGCCTCTTCGAACCTGCAGCCCATTTGGGGGGTCTCTGCAGTCTGCGGTCGCGAGGTTGGGTCCAATTGGTCCATGAAGATC